GAAGAGCTGCGGATATGAAATAATAAAGACGCAGCAAATGTTCAATTATAGGAGCCAATAGGCAATAGCACTAGATTTATTAATCTAAATTCTAATATATACTAATATTATATTTAATAGTAAAAATAGAAAACGAAAAGAGAAACTTAATGTGAAAACTAATTTGGTAGGTAATACAAATTTGGGATTATAATCATAACACCGTTGCAGTGTCACATTATTATAATATAAATATAAAATATTTTATTTGATATGATATATTTCTTTCATTATTACATTATTATTTTTAATGCATGTAGATAGTAGATGTAATATGAATATAAGTTCATATTTGAGTAAATACCAAAACAATGAAAGTATAATACCGATATTATCCGGGGAAAATGTCTTTGCTTGTAGGTTAGGTTACTACTATGTTATGTTATGTTGGGTAATAAACTAATAATTATTATAGGTGCACGCTAAAACGGCTGGGAAGCGGACGACGTATAGATTCTAATGATAAAAAAATCTTTACATTAGATGGCATTTTCATTGGCCCGCTAGCCTATGAAAAGTAAGTATAAAGGAGATGGGTACAACAGTCTACATGTACACAAATATACAATATATTATATATATACAGAAATTCTTTGTCAAAAAGGACTTTATTATACAGTTCAGCATTCATCTGCAAGTACCTATCTATAGTTTTATAATAGTTTAATAATATTTTGTGATAGGTGTGTCGCGCTATTTACTCGTCTGACATTTTATTTTCATATCACATGATATTTGTATATATTTTGTATATTATATGCATCCAGTCAGTCAGTCATATATTTTGTTTATTTTTTGCATCCGGTCAGTCAGTCACGTCTGTCGAGCTAGGTATTTGCAGAACTTGATATATTGGTTAACAGATTAACTATTTACACAAACGCGGGATGAATTCGCTGCAATTATATCAATTTGTTCGATTTACAGATGTAAATTACCTATAGGCAGGTAAAATATTAACAAATTTTAAGCATTTCAATTCTTAGTTTTTTTTCTGAATGTTGAAATTTAAATAAATTATTTTCATGTTTGGTCAAAAAGTTTGAACATTTGATACAAGGTTCATCATAAGATGTACTCACAGTGATTTAAAATAATGATTTTAGTAATTTCAAAAATATTGTTCGAATGGACTTGAAACTTTTTACAGCGTTAATGTTTAGGTTCACTTGAAACCTTCAAAAGTAAAATTTGGATTATTACTTTGTGTAACAGATGGTTTAAACATCAAATTACATGGATATGTCTTACAATGTTTCTGCATATTATATTAATGTACCATGTGCGATTGAGTATAATATTAATAAAATGGAACTTCGCTATCTCGAAGTTTCTATATGTCAATTTTTTTGGTTTCACTGTAATAGGTAATTTAATTTTAAATGTATATTCTTTAATATAATATTTAGTATAGTAATTATGAATTACATAGCATTAAGTAGTTTAACGATATCAAAATATTGGATTGTATAAAATCACAGATTACCTTTCTAAATTTGAGTATAATACAAATATTATAAATATAGTATATAGTATATACCTACAATGCAAAATCATTATTGTAAATTTTAATAATAGGTAAAACCTATATTTTAACAATCATATAGACATATAGTATATAAGAAGGTATAGCACAGAGGACAGAAATATAATATATTATGACCCCACACATCCGGGAAACTTCCGGTTCTGGTATTTTGTCACTTAATATATCATTCACGAAAAACGTATACCTAGGTATGATGAGCCATTGTATAGGTATACCAGATTGTACCGTATTACACTGTGATACCGTATATAGGTATGTTTATGTGTACATATATATTATATTATATTGGCGTTACACCTCGGGATAATAAGAATTTGTCAAAATTGAATTTCGCCGCCACGTACCACTATTCAATATTGTTCGTAAAACAAACACACGTGAATATGAAAAGTGGTGTTCCTCCGGGAGTGACTGCACGCTGCCGCGAAGCACATCATCCGCGGGGACGGTTGTCGCGGATGATGTGGAGGGGTCGACCAGCTGGAGGGTATGTGTGATCGTGTGTGTGTACGTTCCCGAAACAGAGAGGGATGACGAAATACTGGTTTAAACCCTTTTTATTTTATTTTTTTAGGGCTTCTCACACTACGCTGCTATAGCTATATATGTAATATATACATCACATTATATTCCTATGGGTAACGAAAAATATAAAAGGGGTTTCTCCACAATACAATATAATATTATATCCTCAAGCTCTTTCCGTTTATATAATTCCTGTTTTACAAATTTTTTTTTCTCTCTTTTTTTTTTTGTCGATTCCGGGTAAAAATGACAATGTCATGTAGTGTGTGCACTATACCTAATATTATATATATAATATATATATTTATATACACTTAAACTCGTACAAACACTCATACTGGTATAACGGGGTCAATTAAATGAACATCGCTGTCGCGGTCGTAGTGTATGAGTAAAACGCGGGAATACCGATAAATGTATAATGTTATAAGGTGCACCCCTTTTAAGTTTAATATGTATGTATATAAGTATAGGAATATCAAAAATATCAAAACGGTTATTATATAATAATATATAACCAGAGGGATTCCGCATTCGTGTACACTCGATCAAATATCATAAAAAACGTGAAACTCGACTCTTTTCGACGGTATTTTTTCTTTTCAAAATAAATTCGTAGAATTTGATATTTCAGTAAGTACCTACATCATTTATTTTTTCACAGTGAAACCTTCGTTAGAAAATACGTTAAGAAAATATATGTTTCTATGGTTAATACAAAATGTTGGGTACCTATATATCATATTATCATATATTCATAATTCATACCATATTTCGTTCGTTTAGAATATAATATTTTTATGACATCACTTTCACTCAAAGGTTCATATTTAAATTTTATAATTAAAATAAATTATACCTAGGTACTCAATATTAATGACATATAATAATATGCTTAATATAGTAATGTTATTGCATACCTAATGCATTTTAGGTATATAAATGAAACACTTTGATGATGAACATTTCTATAGGGCTCGGAAGCATGCTGAAATCCAAGCCCGGATTAAGAAATTTTGAGGCCCAGGGGCCAAAGTTTTAATTGAAGCCCCTGTACGAAAAAATAAAATTAAAATGTATATATTATTTAATATTAGGTACCTGTTATAATAAATATATATAGGTATTAGTACATTAAGTACATAGCAATAAATAATGAATAATATATCACTTTATTTATAAATTATAATAATATATAATGTACATAAGATTTGTGTTTGTTATAACTTAAAATATTATAGGCATTATAATCAAAATTATAGTTATTTTTATTTATGACCTAAAAATAAACAATGATTTCATACAAAATAAGTATTGATATATGTTATTGTGTGTAACAAATAACTGTTTCATATTTGTTTATTTTGTGGTCATAATAAGAAACGCACCAAATATAGGTAATAATAGCAATTCTATATAGACTAGATACTGATCACAAACTGTAGAAATCATATTCTAAAAAAAATTCATTGAAGAGTTAAAAATATTATGCTCACTACACCTATATCGTACATTCGTAGGATTGTTCAAATTTAAAAATATTAAGCTTTTATTTATAAAATGTATTACAGTTGTTTTGTAATTATTATTATTGTTGTAATTAACAACCGTTTCCAACGCTTCAACCGCCATCGAAAACTAAACTTTCAGTGCAGGCGTGACAAAAATGTAATTTGACTTTCAGATAAATATAATTTTGTTTTTCGATAAAGGTCTATACCTACTATATAGACAACTTATGAGGAATCTTGAATTTAAATTTTCAAATCTTAGATTTAAAAAGAAAAAAAAATTATTAATTTAGACTTAAAATCATTTGCACTGCATTTTCGTGATTTTTACGTATTTTGTCAAAATTCAGACTTTAAAAGTGTCATTGTAAAAATATATTTATATTATATTATATTATATTTTATGAATATTTTATATTATATACATGGATGAAGAGAGAGAGAAAATATTGTTTGAACTTTTTAATACCTACTTTAAAGTTCAATTACAATAAGGGTAAAATATAATTTAATAAAATTAATATCAATACATATAATATTAATTAATATAGCTTAAATAAAAATTAAACTTTAAGGAGACTTGACTTCGCATAACTATTAAACAGTGAGTGACAATAAAAAATGTTGATGAATAATAATACAAACATACATTATAATTTGTATAAATACGAGTAGGCTGGCGGCCACTATTATATATGGATTGACCCCAAATGTATAAAGATATACAGATTATAGAGTGACTAATATGACACAGGACGATTTTTTAAATATTGAATACCAGAATACCTACCTAGCCACCTAGGTACTCATTGTTTTAAAAATCTAATCAGAAATTGAATACAGTTTTGCTTACCAATATAAGAATGGGAAAATATAAAATTTAAAATTATAAAATGTGTATCGATTGTTTTAAATTGTCCAGACAGAAAATGTCCAAAATATTAAATATTTTTTTAATTAATGAGTTTTTGTAATTGTTATTATCACCTATATTACAATATATACTATTCCTACTATACTATTTAACCATTTTAACATTTTAACCTGTAGGTCCTATGAATTATTTTGACTTTTAATTATTTGTAAATGTTCTAAAATTCTAAATCTTAAATGCAGTATGTATTGTTTTTTATCTGCAGAAGTAAGCTTCACCCGGACACGGCTATTTCCCGGATCAGGACAGCATCTGACACATGGTATTTATCTGCAACCAATGGGACGACGAGTAGTCCCGGATAACAGTCCTACTTCAAGAACCTCCAAACACCGATGATGTCCAAGAGCTCCTCCTGACGACTAACAGTCTGACCAAAGACCCAAACAGAATAATAATTATCCTGCTTCAGAGCACGGTCAAATGGAACGAGCTGATAAGGATGGTCGATCTGATACTGACTACCAAGAAGCAGAATGAAATGGAACACCAAGCTCTCCAGAGAGCAGGTGCCTGGTCCAAATATACGTCTAGCAGTTTGGTAGCTCTGGCGGGAAAAAGGGAAAGATCAGATATCGAGAGTCTTATGAAGGTGCCACCGATCACGCTATTCCAATCCATCCGGTCTCCATGGTACGTAGGGGGGGACGATGATCATAGAAGATCATGAACAATGTTCTAGTTCGATGTTTTAGTTTGCTGGTACGCCCACCTAACCAAGGATAGGACAGCGGAATAAGACACCAGGTCTTAAACCTATTCTTTTATGATAACTGCAACGGCCCGGCGATCGCTCCCAAGTGGTATCTCAACTGTAAAACACTTAGGAACACAGTTAAACTTCGATTACGCTTAATCGGCTGATAACAGATATTTAACCGGGGAAATTCGGCTTTAAAAACTTTAATCGTGATTAATTGTGTTGGTGGAATCGGCCCTTATAGTGTTAAACTGTCGTAGTTGCTTGAATAGGGTCCATGTATGCATACTATGTTAGTTCTTACTATTACCTATTATCATTTAATAAACGATGGTGGAAGTATTCGAGGGAAACTAGTTCCCACGGTGTCGTTAGTTCAAATCGAAAAAAAAAATAGTATATTCATCATGTATGCATTTTTTTAAGAAGGATATAAATAATAATATAATTTTGATAGGTAACGAATAATAGATTTTTTGAAACTTATCTATAGAAAAGAGGTACCTACTATTGGAGTTAAGTAGGTAGTGGTAATATCTAATATCTATATTCTATATACTAGTATACAATTATAAGGTTATAATTCCAAGTATCATATTATTCATAAAGTTTAATAATTTATATAAAATAAAGCAAGTTTATAAAATTTATAACATGTTACATAAATCGAAAAATGATCTAAAAGTTGTAGGATATTGCTATCTTAAAACGTATTATACCAAAATAACCGCAATACATTTTATAAATAATAGCTTAACATTTTTAAATTTGAACAATAGTACATACTATAGGTGTAATGCATAGGTATATAATATATATATATATATATTGTAGGCATCAATAAGGCATCCCAATTTTTAGCTCTTTCTTAGAGTTTCAATGAATTTTTTTTTTAGAATATGATTTCTTCAATTTGTGATCAGTATTTAGTCTATATAGAAGTGCTATAATTACTAGCTATATTTGGTGCGTTTCTTATCATGACCGCAAAATAAACAAACATGAAACATTTGTTGCACACAATAACTTATATCAATACTTATTTTGTATGAAGTCGTTGTTTATATTTAGGTCTTAAATAAAAATAACTATAATTTTGATTATAATGCCTATAATATTTTAAGTTATTACAAACACAAATCTTTTCTATATAATATCTAGGTATATTATATACGTCTTGTAAACGATTGTTGTAAACTTGCATACGTTCTCTTATTCAAATTTAATATATTTCAAAAGAATTATAATATCATATTCGACGAGTTTTCTATTTTTTTTTATAGGTGCCCAATGAACATTTATTTTCAATATCATTCGAGTCCCTATGTTCGCCCACGTAGTTTTTTGAGTCTAGAAACCGTGAATCAAAAAATGTATTATTAATAATAAAAAATAGAAAAAAAGAATAGCAGCCGAGGAAAAAATATACAATACAATACATATATAGGTAGTGGTGACTTTCAGCTGGTGCATCAAATTGGTTGTTACGAATTGTTACGTGGACCGGATCCGTTCTGGTTAGGTATATATTATATTGTATCGAGTTCCTATGTTACAGCCTATATAGGTATACGTATAAACCAGCGTACTGCGATAGTTCCCTCTCACTACAGTATATTGACATCGCTGTAGCAGGAAAACCCCCTTACTTAAGATTAATGGTTCGGCTACCACGGAGGGCCAGGTACGATGTGTTATTTTTTTTTTCCGTTCCGTTCGTTTTTTGAAGCAACCGTATACACGATTACCCAAATGTACGATACGGACAAAAAATAAATAAAAAAAAAAAAACCATTCTCTTGGTGTGTCGGGGACCAAGTACGCCGGGCCCATTTAAGTTTTTGACGGCTATTGTCGAATCGGTCGACAAAAACTTCGATTAACCTGACATATGACGTTGGCATATAATATACGTACCTATATATACACGCACGCGTTGAAACATATTGTGTATAGGTGACTATATACCTATACGAGCAATTTCACAAAGACGTGCTACAAAAAGACGCTCTTGATAGGCCCGAAATGAGTGATTGATTCCTCGACGCGTGTATGCGTTTTCGTAACAATTAATCACGATAAACAATGTGATATTATTATATTCTCTTTTACCGTTGGAAAATTATGTTTTCATATTAAATATTACAAACAAGCTAAATGTATTTTATAATATTTTCTCAATATATTAACACCGTATTGATACAGAAATAGATAGGTAGGTACTAGCTTTTGAATTTTTCAGCAGTTGCATTTCCATAATATAATAATTAATAAAGACAATAAGTTTGATACTAATTTGGGTGCGCATTCGCAATCCATTTGGTTAATTTATTAATAAATATTATTACTATTATTATTATTTTATTATATTATATCGTGAGCATCCTTTAAATTTCTTACTGTGGTCACCCGATTTTTAGGGACGGGACTCAAATTATTAATCTCCAAGGAAATGTAGAATAATAATTGTGTCCATTTTCAATAATTATTTATATATAATCTGAATATTTGATAAAACGTTCTGAAATCGAATAAATTAGATGATACATTATTATAGAGAAAATATTATATTTTGAGTTCTAAAAAATAGTTTATGAAACAGAAAAATCTTCCAGCGTTTGGATTTTCTTTAAATCTAAACTCTGGTCACAGGTTTCTATCAAACACGATCACGTAATACGATTTATCACGGTTCACATTTTATCACGTAGGATATTAAATTAGTATAAGCGAAGACGAAAAATATTATTTATTAATAAATTATAAAGTGGCTGGAGATTCTTGATATGTTGAATTTCAAGAGGAACAAAAAACATGCTACCATGTACCTAAGGGTAGGTACTAGGTATGAGTGGCAGTATCGTTATTATAAAGAAAAATAGTAGAATGCAATTTTATTTATTTATTTTGCTTTTGAAATTATTATTTTTTTGATTAGCCGTTTCCCAGAAAATGTATGGCTATAGTAATTACGTGTAAACAAACGAAAAGGCGTTACCGTAACGAACACATATAAGTATATCGCTAACGACTAATCTTTGAAACTATACTTGCAGAATTTTAATAACAATTATATCAATAGATTTGGATTCCTGGAGACTGAGATTATATTTTTGGCTTCTTTTTTCAACCCATATATTATGATGCTATAGGCCCTATAGTATATAGGGTGGCTCACAATTTCGTATTGCCTTACAAAAATCGAAATTGATTTATCTACCTACCTGTATGTTAATAAATTGGGATGTCAGTAGCTCTAATTTGAAATATTGCAGATATTGTAGTGTGTTTTTCTAAATGTGATAGCATTCATTTTACTATATGATCTAAAGCATTGTTTTTTTTCTCCATAATATAAATAAATAAATCACAAAATGGCTGTTTTGCAATTTTTTTAAATTGTTTTATGTTTTTTTAAATTTAAAACATTATTTAGTATTGTTTTCATATACCTTGGTAAACGGGAGGCTATTAGTTATATATTACCTACATCTATCACTTCGATATCTTCATTATAATATTTCAAATTAAAGCTTCCAAATAATTAACAATAACTGTATAAATCATGGTATTGCCATTGGTTACAGATTAAATAAATATGGCATATTTTTAATTTTTTTTAGACAATATAATAGGTATGTATAACCCGTTTATAACGCGGAAAGCGTTTAGATATTTACACATAAAACATGTACCATGAGTAGGGACTTACTAACTTCGATTTGTTTTTAGATGTATTTTAAATACAATACGTCAATACCTATAATAATATAACAATTTAGTTTCTTTAGAAATATTTTACTTGTCCATTAGGCAATAACCAAGCTCAACTATTACAGTCTGGTTTATTAAATCATAATTTGTGAAGCAGGCATGTCAAACTCAAAGTATTAACCGGGCCAAATATATTGAATAGTTATAAAAATGCATGCCACACATAAAAATTCTTCGAAAAAAAAAACATTGCATTCACATTTTTAATTGTATTCATTATAGTCACATTAGTCATTACGAACACATTACACAATAGGTACAATTAAATCTATTGTTATTTATTATTCAAACTACAAAATAATCAAATTAATTATTTATAAGATAGGTATTGTTAAAATTACAAAAAAATCAAATTAATAATTCTTTTTTGATGTTTACCATGTTTGAAATCTCAATTTTCTGTCGCTAACTTAGGTCCATCCCTAAGACTGGAGTGCGTATATTATCTACTTAGATGCCTCCAAGTCTCTCTTTCTGCCATTGAGCCTGCCACGCATCACCCTCACCTCGGTGATGATTTGAGCTCTTAGCAAGAACGGTTTTCGTGACTTAAGCCTCGGGTTAACAATTCCGTCTATATGTATTTACAACTCCTGGTGTTTATGTATTTGGTCCTTTTATTTTAACACACTGTTTTGTCTCCTTATGTGAGAGAGTTCTATGTTGGCCAGGTAGGGTTGGTAACCATTGGTTATGATAACATGAGATGTTTTGTAAAAAAAAGGTATTCGAAAAAAATTTGGTAAGGTCCTAGATTTCTAAAAAATTTTCATCAGGGGTCCGTGATCTACAAAAAGTTAAGAACTTAAGAACCTCTGGTTCAGATAGTTAAATGTTTGGGTCAAACATTTATTAAATCAAGGAATATTTATTAGTTTATATATATTAAAAATCATTATATACAAAATACAGTTGTATCTATTATACTACTATTAAACAAAAAATAATTAATTAATTAGTGACCATATTACTTATATATAAATATTACAATCGAAGCACTACTTATACTTACTGACTATGCTTAAAATTATACTAATTGTTATTGTATTACATAATAATTGATATCTTATCCTAATTTGGTGGAATGCATAATTTTTTCTATGTTGTTACTTAGCTTATTGAGTATTGTATGATTTGATTTGTTTTGGTATTTTACCTGTTACATATGAATGTTTACTTAACCTAGTTAACAATAT